ACCTCATGTCTCTTCCGTTGATGATAGATGCGCTTTAGATCCCCTGATGCGCTAGAGATCCCCCAGGTCTCTAAAAAGGGACACCTCGGCCAGCACACCCTCCTTCTTCTCTGACACCGGTTTGGATGCATATGCCTCATGGTAGGCGCCCCATCAAGCTCAGCCCGCGGACGATTTTGTGAACAATGAGACAGCCAGCTCTCATTAGGGACGGCATGCAACGCTCTCAACGAACAGCCAGACTTTCGTGGTGAGGCGTCGGACGCTCCTAGAGGTACTGACCAGCATGAATGTCGGCCATGGACTTAAGTACGCTGTGGATTGTCGTCTTCGCAGTGGTCCAATCCTATGTTGAATGCGCACTGCAGTGTGGTTCAGGCTGTGGCATTGACAAGTTGGCTCTCTCCGTCTCTGAAACCTGCACCTGGCATCAAACACCACCTTTTTATGCTTATTTTACCGGGTGTATCGCAGAGTTACCACAAAGCAAGTATCATGCACAGCCAACGCCTCCTTCAGCACATGCTGTGTGTGCCATGAAGTGGCCTCCGGCAAGCTGCATTACACCACCTCTCTTCCGCAAAGCGCTCCAAGCATTGCGGAGCGATCCCCAGACTGCGACAGATTTCATGACGCCACCCCCGTTTCGCGAAATGTCCGACGTGTCGTGGTGCGCCCGTTGGATGCTCACGGTCTTCACGCACCACCACTGCCCCGCAGATGCTGGATGTGTTTTGGTGCGAACGTTGGACGCTCACGATCTTCACCGCACCACCCCTGCCCCGCAGATGCTGGACGTGTTGTGGAGCGACCCGCAGACGTCGACCGGCTGTTGCCCCAATACGTTCCGCGGCGGCGGCTGCTATTTCGGCCCGGACGTGACGGACAAGGTGCTGCGCCTCAACCAGCTGCAGCTGCTCATCCGCTCTCACGAGTGCAAGGCTGACGGTTACGAGTTCACCCACGACGGCAAGGTACGGCCGCCGCGTCTGGAGGCGGGGCCGAGGCGCCGTAGTGGAGCAGTGTTTGGCCGGGGACGTGCCATGTTCGGGGGTTTGGCGAAGCGAGCTGCTTCTGAATCGGTATTGGTCACGGTGGGCATGGAAATATTTAAGCGTAAATCCCATGATAGATTTGGAAATGATTCGGACGTAACCTCGAAAGTGTCAAGCAGACGTGGATCCTCCTGGGCTTGCTTTTCGACGTTACGCGCTTCACCGCGTGCGCGTGTTTGCGAAGGTCGTTTTGGGACTGATGGGTACCTACGAGCTAATCTGTGAAGTCTGGCGCGAGGAAAAAATATAGAATTCGGGCCCTTCAAGCGCATCGTTGTAAACAATTAGGACGATAATCGCGTGCAAAGCTGGTCCTTGCATGCCGGCGTTTGAAAAACAGAGTGGCTAAAGCCGGGAAGTGTGTGTTTACGACTATATGCATTTCACGGAAGCGTTTTGTTGTTGCTCGCCTGCAATGAGGTACCTCTCAGGAGCCATGGGCAACCGGGGTTGGAAGACGGGTTCCACGCGCGAGCCAAACGCGCTAACCACTCGACTATTACGCTCCCAGCACCACGTGTATGGTGATCACCCGTGACCGCAGCACCAGAGGTGCGCCTGCGTCCGCGGTCTGCACCAGACGTCTCGCAGCCAGACGCTCCAACATCAGCTGCGTGTCACAAACAAATAGGCAGAGCTCAGCGCCGCTTTGATCAATGGGGATAAGTGACTCTCAGAGGCTGCATGCGTTTGAACCCACGACTTCAAACCGAGATCAAAATCGCTCAACCCTTTTCAATCAATTGCAAATGAACTCAACCCCTTCCTCATTTGTAAACGGATCTAGGCGACCTTAGGATTAAAGCCTGCAGCACGTAGCCTGAGGACTGGTGGCAAACGGGACTAATGACTGTGGCGGGGTGGGCTCATGTCTGATTTGCGAGCGATCGACCGGGCGTGACCCGCCCATCAGGAACGTCATCGATCGCCGGTCACGACGAGCTCCATTGTCACGCATGCCACCACATTTGGAAACTGGGCGCTGTGTGGCCGACGTAGAACTCGAGATAAAGCTTCCGGTTGTGCACAGCACTAGTGGCGAAGAGCGCAGCCGGCTTTTTCACCCGCCTAGAGAGGGTTAATACCGCCCGGAGAGGGTTAAAATAACTCTCTCCGTATCTCAGGAATAACCTGCGAGCTGCGCTAGGTAGGTGCATCAAAATGTGCTCGCCTGACAGGCAATCGATTTGATATATTACGACATCAATGGTGCGACTCAGGATCCAGGGCTACCCGTCCACATCGTTGCCAGGTCTGGTATTATCCTAGGATGTAGGTCAGCTAAACCCATGGACTGAAGACACCCTAAAAGTCTTTAAGGGCGCTCATTTTGTGTCACGGGTTTGTTCTGAGTTAGAATAAAGTGCTTTCGGTAATTAAATATAATTCAAATTGCATAAAGACGATTATTCTACGAGTAGAACGATTGTTCGGGCTGTCGTTCTCGTCTGGGTGTTAGTATGCACACACCGCTTCGGTCAGTTAACTCTCCGAACGTCGTCATGTGTCATGGAGTCCTGAAAGGGACTGGATTATTTTTGTCTTTCATGTATTAACCATATATGTCACAGCCCAAATTATGTGCTTAGAAATGCTGGTATCTTAATCTCAGCAATTCTAAGATAAAAACCATGAGTACTGCTGTTTTTTTTTTATTATTTGTTGTTGAGATTCGAATTCAAGCAATTCCACGGAGATAGTTTGGGCTGTGACGCAAACACGGCTGAAGGCCAAACATTGTGCACTCCTCGGGACTCTATAAGACCTGACGACGACCGGAGAGTTAACTGGCCGACACGTTGTGTAGTTACTAACACAACGCCTCTGCCTGTAATAATTAACAGTTTCAATCCCTCTTTTAGATTGTTTCTGCCTGTTTGGTTTAGCCATTGGTCTCACGATCGTCAGTCGAGGTCAGCCTCACTATGCCAGGTCACACTAGGCTACCATCGCAGGTCGCACGAGGTCAGCTTATGAGGCGTCGAACGAAAATGATTTGCTGCGTCCATTAATGATAAATGAGCCACCATTCACGAACACACTTACAAATCAATGACCTCCACATGTAACGTGAGCCAAAAGAGCAAAAACTATTGTCCAGTTAGGTGACTTGAACTTGACGTGAGAGGATCTTGACTGTTCATTTTGAGCAGTGACCCTTATAACATTATGTAACCCTTTTGGAGCGCAAGAGGACGCTTGCTCGTTTGGTAGAGGTTGTAAAGCTGCCGAACAAATATTACGCTTTCTAGGGACCCTGGAGATATTTGCAGACCACAACTTCTAGACAATTTCGCGCGACTAGTGATGTTATCGCTCATGTTCATGATGCCAGCTCAAAAATGTCTCAGTAAGAGTGACAAGGGCTTTCGAGTGACGTTCAAATATTTCTTTATTCCATGATTAGATCCTGGGATACGAATGAGGACTGCTTTCAGCTTGCCAGGCGGCAGCGGACAGCGAAATATCCAGGTGGCTGGATCAGTGCACGGACCTTTTAAATGGACAATGCCAATAGCGAGCACCGCGGCTGGTTATTTAGTCCATGGGCTTCTGGCGCACACTGTTAGGTCAAATGTATGCTATCTTTGCCTGTGTGGTGTGGCAAACTTCCCCGTTTCAAACCACGATATGTAGACCACGACCACGGCCACGACCACTTCAAGCACAGCAACAAAAAAGGTGCAATTACTCGCTGACCGTGGATCCAGAAGTAAACCCCGATGTGGTCTGACACGTCATCGATTGATCTAAACATCTCAAATTGGATGTGTCGGATCGCACCGCAGCGGCTGTTACAAACACAGTTCGGATTCGTGGCTCCCGCTCGTTTAGATACAGGCCAACAAGCAGTAGCGACATTGATTTCCCCTCGGCTGGCACGTGAGGAGAATCTTTCCCACCCGGAGAGGCTAACATATTCTACTGCACGAGCTGCAGCTGGTATATGGGCATTTAAAGACGCCGGATCCAGTCCCATTCGGACTCCTCAGAGCGGAACCAGGCGCCGATGCGTTCACTTTATGGGACGGCCTGCGGTCAGCGTCTTTCGTTTCCCAACGTCTGAGCAGCATCCTATCATTGCTTCCACGCCGTCGAACCAGCTCCTGACTTTGCCTCTGGCAGAGTGAATTCGCCCGCTCACCTCTGTCCTGCGCCATGTTGCTGTTTTTCGTGTGTGTTCCAGTGTTTTAACGTGACCTAGTCTCTGCCCGGTAGCTGACGCTGCCCGCGTGTTCCCGCAGTGTCTGACTATCTTCTCGGCGTCCAACTACTACGGCCCCGGCTCGAACCGCGGCGCTTACGTGGTGCTGCAGGGTGCTGAACTACGGCCACACTTCGTCCAGTTCACTGCCCAAACCAAGGCCAAATATATCTCGATGAGGCAGCGGGTAGGCGCGTTGGAGGCCTCCGCCTTGAACGAGCTCCGCAAGAAGATTCTGGCCTCAAAGCAGACGTTGATGCATGAGTTTAAGAAGCACGACCCGGCCAGGAAAGGTGGGCAGGTGGTCAGGCGCGCGGTGGCACACCTAAGGACGTCCGAGCGGTGAGAGCGGCGGTCATATGCCAATGAGGAGAAGGTATAATCTGAGATGCTATTGGCGGCTTGCGCTCGTGAGCAATGTCAACAGCTTAGTATTGATCTACCCACGGTTTGTAACGTTCAAGTTGTTTACCTGGCGTACAGCTGCACTTGACGGCAACAGCGGTGCGCTAGGGCTTTAAGCACTCATGCCGGCAAGGGTCAAGTATTGCCTGCGGGCGACGTATGAACAATCGGATAACCCCTCTTCTAAGCAGTCTCTCAATAGCATCAGAAGCATGACAACAGGAAAAGTTTGGCAGAGTTTAAATAGGGATTTCTTTTTGATTGGTTCTGACCAATTACCCATCAGTTTCAACCCTTTCAGTAAAAAGAAGGCTTCTGCCTCACATTCCATTGAAAAGCGGCTGACGAAGTTACAGAGAGCTCGAGGCGGGGGCTTATTTAAAGAAAATGTTCTGAGTTTTAAGACATTGAAGCAAATGTGAGGTATGATGGAAAAGCTCTCTCGTAACTATTGGTGTGCTTTTAGGTGCAAGAGACTGCTCCAGCAAACACAATTTCACTTTTAGTAAATGTGGTCCTCAATGTGTCATCGTTTTATTGCATCATGGAATGTTTTTGTCACCTCTGCTCGTGCAGAACTGTCACCGAAGCAGAAAGTTGACTTAGAGGTAGTACTTCAACCTCGCAGAGAGGTGGCTTGTTAACTGATGCGTATGTACCAAAACGAACACACGTCACAAAACGTGGTGCATGTATGAGCCTTGCATTTAATGGGTTAAAGTGGGTGAGTGCCAACAGCTGTGCGTTGATGCTACGGCTCGTGCTGTCGTATTCCAAAAATGAATGATTAAATGATCGTCTTTTTTACTTTGAACAGAGCATGGCTAATAAGAAGGTGAAATTCCTGTGACATGTATATGACGTCATACATTTTTGGGTGACACAAAAGTACGCGGCACGAAACAGTCTGCGTAAGTTTGCGTGCGCCCCATTGAAAACAAAAATGAGAAAATTTGAAGTCTTAAAATGGCTCACCTTAAACTGCAGGGAATTATCTTGAACACAGCTACCTCAGTCTCAAGCCACACAGAAATGACTATGTTGGTCTCAAACCACACAGAAATGGCTATGTCAGTCTCAAACCACACAGGAATGGCTATGTCAGTCTCAAGCCACACAGAAATGGCTATGTCAGTTTCAAACCACACCGAAATGGCTATGTCAGTCTCAAACCACACAGAAATGGCTACCTCAGTCTCAAACCACACAGAATTGGCTAGGTCAGTCTCAAACCACACAGAAATGGCTATTACAGTCTCAAAACAAGTAGAAATTTTCATATCAGTCTCAAACCACATATAAATGTGGAGCCGTCCCTCAAAACAGGAGACATGATTGGTGCACCCCTACGAAACAGTTTAGGAAAACGCAGCTTGCATACGAGAGCATGTATTCTGTGCCTAACATCTTTCGGTGTTATAACATTGGACTGCGCCCACTTCATGAGCGGATCCTCTATACGCCATAAGCGGATCCTCTATACGCCATGAGCCGATCCTTTATACGCCATAAGCGGATCCTCTATACGCCATAAGCGGATCCTCTGCACGTCATAAGCAGATCCTCTACACGATCTTTAGCATGTCATGTGACGGTGCTGACTTATCATGGCGCTTGGCGGAAGTGCGGAAGGATAGAGTGCTTATAACAGATCCAAAGGGGAATTTAAAAAAGAATTTAGGGACCTGAACTTCCAACCCAGTGGCTAACGACACTTCAGCAAGTTGGAGTTTTCCATCTTGCTTTTTCACATGCGATCAGTAAATATCAGATCACAACATTAGCGTCTCTGCCTCTGTCTCTATCTCTGTTACTGTCTTTGGCCTTGGCTCTTTCCCGAACATAACAGGCTAACATAAGACTAACATAACAGGCTAACTAACTAACTAACATAACAGGCTAGCATAACATAACATAACAGGCTAACATAACATAAGACTTACATCCTGGTTTTGCCCCGATTATAACATCACATGTATTCCGGATATTGCATGCATTTCGGGCTTCCTTTTCGGCGGATGACTGCAATTTAAGTTACAGCGGATGGGACCACCAAAATGTGTATTTATTTGTAGTGTATTTTCGATGAGCTTTCTTCCATACTCCACGAATGCATTTTGACTTCGGCGAATGCAGAAGAAAAAAAGTTGCCAGTTGTGTGCTTTTTGTTCAAACATCCTCGGCATGACGCCACGGCTTGAAGTAATGTCATGCATCACAGTATCATTAAGCTGGATTTACCGTCCATATGGTCACGTCCAGGCCCAAAATGCATTGACTGATTGCATTGACTGATTGCATTGACTGATTGCATTGACTGATTGCATTGACTGATTGCAGCGCACAGAGGGAACGCCTCGTGAAGCGAATTATAGCGTATGGACCCGGAGGAGATTCTGCAACTTCCAACACATTTGACTCAAATTATTTTTAGTCGAGCTGATTGTATTAAACAATCTTCTAATGCTTTAGATATGGTGAGGTTTTTTCAGGAATTTTTTCTGAATTTATGTGGCACCTATCCTTTCTCATTCCCTAACTGATCGTACGTGATTGGTTCATCCATGTCCGATTGCGTGCGTGATCTTAATGAGGACATTGGAAAGTAGTAACCGGCGATGAAATACGATCAAAACAGTACCTAATTAAATGCATTCATAGCCAGCTCTTCTTCAAAATTTTGTTTTGGGGGCTCCTGGCATTGTTCTTCACTCACATCGAAGTAACTTTTTAGGAGCTGGTAATTTCGTTTCACTCACTTGCAACGACGATAGCTAAAGTACAAGTTCCTTGCAACAAATTTCATACAAAGCTTTGTTGTCATACGGGAACATCCCGAGCTTGACATCTTGGCATCTTGACATCATCTCAAAAGAAGCGTGAGGCCCGAGAGCGTCCCACGTCGGGTCGTGACGGCTGCGCCCCGGGGCGTTGCAGGTTTGATCCCGGCAGCCGACTGGGTGGCCGTGATGGAGCGACACTGCTCATCTACCATCCCCTGGCGCACGCTGCGCGAGAAGATCGTGGCGGCGAAGAGCAACGGTCAGATCCCCTACGTGGAGACATTCTCCGAGGCCCCGCGGCCGACCGGCCCACGAGCGAGCACGCAGGTACGGCGGGCGCCGGGCGGAGGTGGACACACATACGGACACACACACAACAGGTAAGGCGGGCGCCGAGCGGAGGTGGATACACACATCAAAGTACAGCAACAACCGAGCAGAGGTGGACACACACACAGCCAGGTATAGCAGGAACCGAACAGAGGTGGACACACACACTCAGGTGCAGCAGGAACCGAGCAGAGGTGGACACACACACTCAGGTACGGCGGGCGCCGAGCGGAGGTGGATACACACATTAAGGTACCGCAACAACCGAGCAGAGGTGGACACACACACAACCAGGTGTAGCAGGAACCGGGCAGAGGGGGACACACACACAATCAAGTACGACAGGCGGCGGGCGGAGGTGGACACACACACTCGGGTGCGGCGGGCGTCGAGAGGAGGTGGACACACACACTCAGGTGCGGCGGGCGTCGAGAGGAGGTGGACACACGCACTCAGGTACGGCGGGCGTCGAGAGGAGGTGGACACATACTCAGGTACGGCCAGGTACAGCAGGAACCGAGCAGAGGTGGACGCACAGGCCAGGTACAGCAGGAACCGAGCAGAGGTGGACGCATAGACCAGGTACAGCGGGAACCGAGCAGAGGTGTATACACTCAGGTAGAGCGGTCGCCCGGCAGAGCTGGGCACACTCAGGCACCGCGGGCGTGGAGTAGAGGTTGATGGGTGGCAAAGATCCACCTTTGTCTGAGACGAGACAACGATGGACCCAAATGCTGCGCGATTCTAAAAAAACAGGTATGGTTTTCGTTCGCAGGTGTCATTTCTACGCGCCATGCCATTTTTCAACGTCTTTACCACATGTGTTCGCCGCTCGCAGAAGTTGGGTTGGGCGCGGAGAGGCACTAACGGCGGCTGTATGGGCCGGCCTCTCCGTCGGAAGTGCACTTTGCGAACGGCGAGAAAGACGCGCTTTGTGGGCTCCATCGCGCTGCGCCCGCCTGGCCCGCCTCCAGATCTGCTGGTGCTCGCGACTTCGTCCGCTACGACAGCCAGAGCTGTGGGCCCGTCTTAGCGACAAAGGCTGAGATGGTGTGTATGCCACGCTGCAGGGGACAGCTGAAAAGGATGTAAAACTTGCCTTTCACGGAATGTGTGGTTTTTAGCATTTTTGTTTCACTGCCAATTGTGGGGATGTGTGCTACACGACGACTCCATCCCGGGTGCACCTATATGCAATATACATAAGGATGGTCTATTTTTGTTCGTTCCATTGCAGGTGGCTAAGGTTTTTTGCGTGATTGGTTTTATTTTAAGCGCTAACAGCGCTTTTAGATACCTTAAATAGTAATTAGTTGTCTCGCATGTCCTGGAAAATTGTAGATTTGGTGAAACTTGTAGTGACCATGTTTTTACCCCAGTGAGATATGTGATCATGTGTCATACTTTCTGAATCCCCACGGATGACAGCAATGGTTAAACGGTACTTCTCAAGGTAATGTGGCGCTTAGTCTAGAAGTTGCGCTACTTGGAAACTAACTGCATTCGACCTACACACATTTGCCTGATCTGGTGCCAGAGACAAGAATGTCTTCCCTGAAAACGATTAGCAGGTGGCAGGGTATTATCATTGAGGGAGAAGCGTTGGGAATTCATTTAGTAAGGTTTCCTCAAGCGCTGATGACACCGGACCTCCACACTCTCTGTCGTTTACACACTCCGTGCACTGCGAACGCAGGACTGATCCCACCACATTTGCCATCTGGATGGAAATGTGAAATGAAATAGTAAATGATAGTGTCTGTAGTGGGGCATGACTTCGTTATCTTCAGGATTCATCTCTTTTAGGCTGCGGGAAGAGTGGCGGCAGATCTGTGCTGAATTATCAGAAACGCTAGAGCTGAATACTGATTTGATGCGGTAAACATGTGTTGGATACTAAAAATGCCGCTCGTTATACTTAATCAAACTGTCCAGCAATGTAACATTCCAGAAATTTCCTCTTTTTGCTTGAAAATTAAGCTATTGCAATGAACTCCTGTTTGTTGCATATGCGGATACGAGAAGCCATGACAGTAAGGGCTCGTGTTTCGAGAATGCAGTGAGGAAGGCTTGAATAGCGGTATAGAAGATGAGAAGATTGCTAAAGTGAGCCTCTTGACCGTCAATATGATGATTTGAATTGTGCTTCTGAAGCGGGTAGTGGTTTGGCTTTCATATATTCATTGCTTGCCTCCGGCTTTGGTTCTTATCTAGTTTTTGAGGTGCGTGATGCAACAGAAGATTGTTGCCATTTCACCAGATTGTTGCAATTTTTACCAGATTATTGACATTTTTAACCAGATTGTTTACATTTTGCACCAGATTGCTGTCACCCCGAGTTACCGTTGTCTCTTGGCAAGGAGTGCTTCGTCGTTTCCACTCATCGTTGTACGGTGTGGGCCATGCTAATTCTACTAAGATTGCATATGTTACTATTGTGTTCTTCTGAGGGCGTTCAGTTATCTAATCTCTTCAATAGTATCAGACCACTGGTGTCCTGCAACTTGTCCAGATTTTCCGGGAATTTCTCTGTGCTTTTACTCATGTCAATGAGCCTCTTCTTGCTCTTGCAGCGAGTACCGCTCTTCCCAGTCATTCCAAGTTTTTCTCCTTAGTATTACAGCCTTTCATTTTTCGCAATGCTATAACTTCTCCGTCTGCTCGAGCTATGTTCCCAACGAATAAACTTCCAATGCTGCTTCGAACGCGACCTTCAATCAGGGAGCTGCTGACAAGATTGTCGAAAACCTCCTGATTGTCATGGAAGGAGCCCCTGAGAGCTTCTCGTGTGCCTGGCGTCCTGCTGCCACCGATCGAGGAAGACGGCTTGCCGATTAAACATGCGGTCATCACTACCCTTAGACACTGGAGTTGCTGCACTCCTTGCGCAAATGCCGAATCGGCAGTGGTCAAGGTCTTTCCACTCCTCGTTGTTATCGGTGGATCCATTAAACGATGTAAACTTATGAGACAATGATCAGTTGTTTTACTTGCTCTACGACCCTCTACAGGCCCCAATCAGCTTAAACAAATTATTTTACTTGAGCTACACGAGCAGAAAACGGATGTCGCGGACGGACGGCATCGGCTCGTGTGCCTAAAGCTGTACGTGGCTTACAGACGCGTTCAGCTTCCTGAACATACTGGGGAGAAACATCTCGCACTACCACGCCCGTCCTATTATTGCTGCAAGGCCTTCCCTCCTTGCTTATCCCAGGACCGTTACTGCGAAGTCCCACTTCCCGTTATTTCCCGAGCACCACTTGGCCTCCTTAGCTGATAGCACCTCCGCCTTCGGGACGGCACGGGATAAACATTGGCCGCTCGCGGCGCGCACAGTCCTGGAAGGAGGAATGTACGAGGGCCACACATCTCAAATATAATCTAAAGGGAATGCTACATATTTGTATGTGATTTTGAACTGAAAAAGCCATCCTGACGACCATTCGGTGCAGTTCAAAGCGCTGCCCTTCTGTTCACGGCCCTGCCCTATAGCCATCTAGTTGTAGATTCTGAACTATACGTCCGCGAAAATGTGCAGTATATCCCTTGCAGACTATTTCAATGTGATTCAAGCATGCATGACGCCATTCAAATCCTCCCACCCCATTGGCCACGCAACATCCAAGGTCAAAAAGAATATAATCGTCGAGTCGTTCACATCCGACGTTCGTGAGCACGATTTCCAGACAATATGGACTCCAGCTGACCCCCAATCAATGTTATCCAGACGGTGTCAGCTTCAAACACAAATCACGTTTTGTCTACACAATACGAGAAGTTAGGCGTGGCTCCTAGTTTTTTACGGAAATGAGACTTGTAATCGAATAACGTAAGGCAAGTGTCATAACCGAGTATGTGAATACAAGCAAGCATTTTAAACTCACGGATAAGTATGCAAGAACGCCACGGAAGAGGTCAAAACACGAGCATATACCGATATCTGCTTTAACAAAGACCTCCAGCACCGCCACAGCGTCACGGTCACTTCTCGGGAGACTGAAGTACAAGCGAGTGGAACCAGCGTGGCAATTTCGCACCGTTAGCTTGGCCGCACCTCAGCACCATACAAACGTTTTATGACGCAATCAAACAATGATGCATTCAGGAGCATATTTACTAAATAGAGAAATTGCATGGCCTACAGCGGTTTTTTTATTAAAAGGTATAACAATAGTTAAACGTGGGCTTATTTCATCATATCTGGTCCTTACCTTAATGTCTCCAAATCTGGAGCATTCCTTTTCGCAAAATACTCAGCGGACCTTTTAAGGCAACCCATGTCACCTCATCGTTGTTTCTGCAGACAATATTATGATTTGCGGTGTGACGTCAGATACATGCTGTGCGTGGGTCGAACGCAGGTGAGCTTCTTGTTGAATGAACCCTCTGAATCCCGTGCTTTACTTGAGAAGCACCTGACACGATTTCGTATACCGCGGGCTTTAGAACATATGATTATATCCCAACTCGGTTAGAAGCTGCTAATTGTTTTCGCTAAAACTCAAATTATCAAGGTTACTGCGAGGCAGCCTAACATTTTACCATTTTGCTGAAATCGCTGCGTCGTTGTGGTGAAGGTGAACAGCTTTTTTTAGCTAAAATGTCTGAAAAAACACACACATATACTTGACAGCAGTATTGGACTATTGCGATGATGCATACGCACACAATATTTACGACGAATTAATGCGCACAAATCAAATTACCCTCATGATCTCTTGGCGCATTTTTTGCACACGCGTGTCGGACGCGCGTAAACTGCCCACATACTCGCCTTGCTTTATACCGCATATCTGCGTAAGCCATGCTTTCGCTGAACTACGCTTTTCGATCGCCATCGCCGCTGCACAAAGACTATGCTTGCCCTTCCATCTCCCCTTCATGAAAGTATTAAGACATGAAGACATCAGGCCAACAAAGAGCCACAAGGGCCCATCGATGTTGGCTTACCCCAGGTTCCCCACCCATCCTTGGCACTAATTTCACCACCTGACCGGCCTAAATGTAGCTATAAATGAGATCCTTGGACGGACAAATCTTGCCCAAATGATTTTTAAACGTTGCTAGAAGAGGCTTTCTACAACTTTGTCTGACAGTCAATTTCAATGATCCTCTACTCTTTGACTAAATGACATCTGCCTCTTTATAGTTCCACTCCTGCCTTTTTTCTCATTGCAATGGCTTCTCTAAATCTCGACCTAATTTTGCTCCTGGTAGATCTACTTGGTCCATCTCTTTAATAATATTGAATACCCTATCAGATCCCCTCCAAGTCTACGATATTTCAGTGAACACAAATCCAAGTTCTTAAGCCTATCCTTACATTCTAAGTCGCCAATCCCATTTATCATCCTAGTTGTTTTTCGCTGTGCTCTCCCCAATCTATCTCTATCTTTTTGGGAGCATTGGGTTTAATCCAGTACACAATACTCTAGTTGTGGCCGGGCATAAGCTAAGTACAACTTTTAACAGCATTCCTCCTCTTGTAATGGACATTCCTGTTAATAAGTTCCAGGATCCGAAATATCTTGTTCCCAGCAGTCCCACATTGCTTTAGTGCCTTTAAATCCCTGGAAATTATAAATCTTAAGTACCTTTCTCCTTCGATCTAGTCCAACTCTCGGCCTCCCATTCTATAGCTAATGCCCTAACTGCCAGAACTACCCAAATGCATCACTTTACACTTATCATAATGAAATGACATCTGCCATAAAGAAGCCCAGTTGACCAGTTTCTCTCAGTCAAATTTCACCTAGTCTGCGTTTTACGACACTCTTATCAATTTCTTATGGTCAGAAAGTTGAAGCACTCTGCGTTCTCACCCTCTCTTAATATTATTCACAGAAATAATAAGGAGTAAAATGAACAACACCGACGCCTGTCGAGCCCCACACTCTGCCAGCTCCTGCTGAGGTTTAGCATCATTGAGCACTACTTGTTTTCTGTCTTGCAGTCAACCCCCCACCCAGTCAAGAATCTTCTCTCAGTGTCATGCACTTTTCACTGATTTAAGAGCTGCTGTTGTGGCATCTTATAAAATGCCTTATTTAAATATAGATAAACAACATCTTAACTATTGCCTTTATGTACCTGACTATTAACATGATCCACGAGCTCGAGAAGATTTGTCAAAGAGCACCTACCAGCAAAAGGTCCATGCAGCTACAATTTATCAACTGATGCCTTTCTGTGTGCGGCCGAACGCTAGCATTAATGTATTTATCTTAGATCTTGCAATGATCTTCCAATCATGTCAGGCTCTGTTTTAGAGATAAGGAACCCAAACAAATTTGTTTGCTAGTTTGAGGGTGTTGCACACAACACATTTTTGTCTTATTTGTTGATGGTTGGCGATTTTTAACCAATTGCACTTTTCTTGCGCACCTAAATATTTAAAATGATTAAAGCAGACATTTAGACATTAGGAATAGCTTTCACTGCGTCTCTCACTAAATTTAATCATGCATCTTGCGATCGTGACATTTCTTTACTCCTTAAGTATGAGCAAAAAAAACCTGCAGCGGGATGCTAGAATAGTCCATTGTGCAGCCCCATTCATTTATATGTTGTATCATCGGCGAGTAAGTGTACGATGTAAAAAGCACAGCCCCTATGTGGTCTTTCCAAATGTTCTGTCTCGGCTGTCCATCAGTTTAGCAGCCAGATCTTCTAACATCAATCTAAGTCAGTTCTGATAGCGTCGTCCGATCAGTAGTATTGTCAACAGCTTGCTCCGATGGCAGAATTTCGTCGTTTGACTCATATACAATGCATGGATCGATAATTGTTTAATATCACTTGCTTGCAGAATTGCTAATAACTCATATTTACACCATGATAAATTAGCCTGTTGAAACTGAACATTGTTACTTCCTAGCATACCTCTCACTAGGACTCTGGTCCGATTAGGCCGTACGCCCAGCGACGTGCGAAGCGCGTCACTTGATAAAATGTGAGCGAAAGGGTAAGTTCGTCACGATAGCTACGGCAGACTAAATACGGTGTCAGCCACCCACTTGGCTCTGCCTGATCCTGTGATAGCATGATCCTGATCGCTGCGGTACATGGAATCCAGTGCGACAAAGGCGCACCTTTGGCGGCCAGTCTGTTCTGTTTGTCCGTCACAGCTTGTCAAGTCGATACTCGACGGCTGCTGAGCCGCTCGCTCCCGGGCCGGCCTCTCGCTCTCAGAGTGCTCCAAGCCCATTGCATCCGACCCGCGCGGTAGCTAGCGCGTATCCGACGCCCACGCCTGGTCAAGTGCGCGACGCTCCACTCCAGTGATGCGGTCTTTCTTTTCAGGAGAGCCCGAGCGTCGTGGAGGCGCTCTACCGCAACAGGGACCGGCTAGAGACCATCTTCGGATTCTGGACAAGGACCACTCTGGTAGAGAAGCGGGCCGCGGGGTCGCGCTCGCGTGGACCTGTCGATCCTTTACAGATCGGAACGGAATAGTCAGCTAGACGAGCAGTGGGCCAGCTGTATTGAAGAATGTTCCCATCTCTGAAGGCAGTTATTTGAAGCATGTGTTGTCATTTGGTGATTCGGCCTATAATCGTCCGTGACAAGCTGGCATGACGGCCGGGGCGACATCGAGTTTCTTAGCACATTTCGCCGGGAGGAGTCTGTCAGGTCAACTGGACAAAGGCTAAACAACCAGCACGCCTACATTGGATGGAAACTTAAGAGGCTATGTCAGACAGGTGGCCGGGCTGCACGCCCTCTGTCTAAATTGGTTATATATTTATTTTGTGGTTCAGAAGAGACCAACTTTTTCCAACACATACCGCTCGTTTTCGTCTTGTTTTTGTTAGTGGCTCAATGGTTGGGGATTTTTGCCAAATATTCGGAGGCCGACACAAACACTGGGGACTGAGGCCGTTGCAAAGAAAAGCAAGCTTTACACGAGGCTGGGTGTAAATCTGGTAAAGCTGAGCTCATTTCTCGCCGTCCACTAACTCACGAGTCGATTACATATCAACGGGGTGCGCTGCTGCTGCGTTCTGACGGCCGCCTCTAGAGGGAGACGCACTTGGCACAGCTCATGCGGCTCCATGCAAGGTCCCCCTGCGTGTCAGCACGCGCCGCCCTTCCCGATCACGTGTCTCGGCCAGATGGGCAGGTTGCCCATTTCCTGCGTGGAATGAGTTATAAAGTGCAGGTGGGGCCGAGCTCAGTTCCTGCTGGTCGGCCAGGGCAGATAGTTTGCAAGAGAGCGGTATTCTTTTCAAACGTGAACACGGGAATTGTCGCATTGAAAGTAGGCTGAAGCCAATCCAATGGGCCTGTTCAGCACGAGACTGGTGTATCCTGTTGATTGGAATGACAATGCGGCGGCGGTGCTCCGTCCAGATCGGTCGGAGGCCAGCAGTTGTGAAACGATGCAGCTCACTGGTGTGTTGCGGCGGCCCTGGCAACGCTCGGACGTCTGTTCCTTCCAGCCAGGCCAACGTCCGTCATATCGGAAACAGGCGGCCACTTGCTGCAGGCATCCACTGGAAAGGCCGTGTCGCCCCTCGGAAATGATCCTCTGGCGCCGCCGTTGGTGTAACGTCGGCTGCTGCCGTCACAGAATTATGTTCTGCAGCCACAAAGAGGGGGACGATGCGATGGTGTGAGAGGAAGTTGCGTACTATTTCCAGGGATGCAGTCCGAACAGACGACGGCGTTTTGAAGTGTATGAAGACAGGATACCAACATAGTTCAATTGGGGCAATACCGACATCGATTGGCGAGCCCATGCCTGACACAGTGCCCTGTTCGCACGGATGATACAAGATGCACGCCGGACAAAGTGCGCAGCAGGCCAGCGCCTGGCGCTTGCCGCGGCCCACCGACGGCTTTGGATTCCAAATCATCGATGCATGACATCGGAGGCACACATTTTGGAAAACGATACATCATTGGCATCCTGTCAGGCTTTGGAAAAGGGTGTTTTTCTAGTGTGATCTTTAAGCCAGAATGGTTGGGTTCCATTTGTTCTGCAATCCATTGAAAGTTAACTCAGAGAAAACAAGCACAGCTCACGTGCGTGTACAGTTATCACCATTTGCTCGGAACGATCAGCAGGTTAATGTTGATGCAAGCGATAACAATAGTGGATCCCGCCAATAACAAAGTAGCTTTAGTCGTGCTGCTGCAAAAGATATTATGTGATTCGTGTAATACCTCTCACCACTTCCTATAAGTGGTCACTAAGCAGTTCTCCGCCAGTGCTCAGACCTTTGCAGGTACACATTCGCTGGGGGCTGGGCACGTTGGATGCTGCATAACCGCAACAGTAGTAGGATCATAAAGGTCCTTAAGCCCATCCATGACCATGCCCTTGAAAACCTACCAGCGCTACGCTTCTGCTAACTCAAAAAAACCGTTTCGTAAAGCACTGGAGTGGGCAGCCTGGTTTCGTGGTAGAATCTCTATGCTATGTGGTGCCGCTATGGTAACAACCTCTACACGGGGCCGCTGTGGGAGCTGCTGGGAATAAACTAGATGCTGAAGTAAAGGTAAGACAAGCGAGGATGAACCTGGGCAATACGAACACTCAAAGCACGGCAACGAACCGTAGACTGCAAGGAAGCCAGCGGTGGTCTCCACCATGGAACTAGAATCGAATGAAAACCAAGGTAGAAAAAATAGGGAGACACAGGGACATACGAGAAAGAATGGAATTGTAGCCTAGTTGCTGAAGAAGCAAAACTAACCGACCAACTAACTTGAGGCACTTACGCAGAAGAAGACAACAAAGGGTTGCATGGTCTGACCATAAAAAGAGCAGGAAAAAGGGGACAGGCTCCATAGGAAATGCAGATGGCAGCGATGCATTGGCCGAAGTGAAGAGGAAGGAAAAAACGAATTCACGAGAATGTGTAGCAAGTTTGATCAGTGGAAGAAACACTGGCCGGATCAAAGCAGCGGCAATGAAAGGGCTTATTTTTTGCCAAATTGTATCTTTTATTACAGCAAAGAGTGATCAAACTGATGTTGGCTTTAAGAACGCGGTCACAAGAAACAAAGCAAAGGTAGTGGACGTAGTGATTCATATTGGGGCGACTATGTGCTGAACCATAGAACAGACCATGTTCTGAAGAGCATAACCAGCGCCGTCAATTACGCGCAGCCCTTGAAAAACATCAAGCAAATCTTCAGTTGTTCGCTTGAAGAGAGACAGGGCGCTGGCTTTGTTACTTACAAAACAGCAAAAACCGTAGGCAGTGGGCTCAGTCAGCTGTGTGCAGCCCATAGGATAGGACTCATAAATTTACGGCCAAGAACGATGTTTTGCGTTTTGGAGGCCTGACTTCAGGTATCGTATACACTTTGGAAGGCGCCAGAAGTACATTGCAGCAAATTATCAGCCAAGTGGCTGTTTTTTCTTAGATTTGATTTCAAGTTGATCTCTGGCTCCCATCATTTTCATAAGAACAAAGCACACGGCTCGAAGTATCCCAGAAATATACATTTTCTTGCGGCGACTTTGCACGATCACTAAGCAATCTGAGCTTAGCTTAGGTTGCACAAGTATAAGGTAGACATGGAAATTATCACAGAAACCCATGTAGGCAAGACCGTCGACGATAACCAAATCTTTCAAGTCAGACGTAAAACATTGCGAGGAGACAGAAATTTACTGGCGGTCAACAAAATTAAGAGTGGAGTAGTCGCCATACACATAACAAATAGCTTTCCATACACAGAGCCCAAAATTAAAGTTCCGGATAAGCTGGAAGTTTGCTGGGGCGTCATTCGACGTTTGCAGCCCGCAGCATCATAATAGCTGGGGTCTTCCTGCTGGTGCATCAATCTGTCGCCGACAATGGTTCTTGACCAGTTTCTAGAGTTACTTGATCATCTTCGATCCTCAAGACTAAGAGGAAGGACTGTCTTGATAGGGAACTTGAACAAAGCATTTGAGGTAGAATTGTTGGCTCGTCAACTGTATCTCTTGCAATGAGCTACGAAGCTCACGAGAGGTTCAGCCGCACTGGACAAGATGTTGACTGATTTTAATTATCCAAGTGCACTACTAAACCCATCACCCATTGGCGTGGCGGACCACAAAACTGTAGTATGATTGACTGCGACACAAGTCGAGAAATTTCAAGGTAATTGCTCTGTACAGCCCTTTGAAGGATTCATTCATCATAAGATTTGACAGATGGATTTGCTGCCAAGCCTGGCAGCAAATCTCTTTCTTATTTTGATTCTCCAAATGCACCACTAAACCTATCGCCCTTTGGCGTGACGGACCACAAAACTGTGGTATGGTTGCCTGCAACACAAACCAAAAAATGTCAAGGTTGTTGCTTTGTACGGCCTTTTGGAGGATTTATTTATCATAAGTTTTGGCGGATGGATTTTGTGCCAGGATTGGCAGCAAATCTCTCTCTCTCTCTCTCCCTCTCTCTCTCTCTCTCTCTCTCTCTCTCTCTCCTCTCTCTAGCTCTCTCTCTCTCTCTTTCTCTCTCTCTCTCTCTCTCTCTCTTCTACTCTTCTCTCTCTCTCTCTCTCTCTCTCGCTCTCTCTCTTTCTCTCTCTCTCTCTCTCTCTCTCTCTCTTCTCTCTCTCTCTCTCTCTCTCTCTCTCTCCCTCTCTCTCTCCTCTCTCTCTCTCTTCTCTCTCTCTCATCTCCTCTCTCCTCTCTCTCTCCTCTTCTCTCTCTCTCTCTCTCTCTCATCTCCCTCTTTCTACATCCCCGCTTCTCCCCCTCTCTCTCCTCTTTTTCTCTCTCTTTTGTCTCTCTTTCTCTCTTCTCTCATCATTTCATCTGCCGCAGCAGGGGTGCCCTTGAATGAATTGACGCATTTGACGTACGGAATAGTTCTAATGTCTTTCAGAACGGGTTCCGCCACTCGACGGCCTGTCTCCTTTGTCGTTCGACTGGGACTTTATCTTCTCAAACGATGATGTTCTCACTGGATAAATTGACATCATGTTGACCCTTGACCAGGTGTTACTGGTCCGGCATTACTCCGCTCATGAACGAGTTGATTCTGCTGGGCCGTGACTAGCTTCTATCTGATTTTTCCCACCGGGTAGTTAACCAGTTGATTCATGGCCAGCTTTGTCTGTTCCGGCAGGGCTCCTCTCACTGGATAGTTGACCCCGTTAATTCTGACCGGTTTCCGTCTCCGGCAGGGTTCCTCTCATTGGACGAGTTCGCCGACGCTGCTCCCTCCTACGGAAACTACCTGTGCGAGCCGATCCCATACGACGAGATGGTCAACATGGCCAGAAGCATGGACATCAATAAGGACGGCTTCATCGACTTCAACGAGTTCCTGGAGACCTTTCGGCTGGTTGACATGGAGGGGAGTTATGCCGTGGAGGACGCGTGACATTGAAAGCCGACAACATCTGCCCGATATCGGTTGGTGGACCCGTGCAATATGTGCCGTCACATCAAGAGGAACCAAACCGAGATCTCTTGAATGCGTTATGCCGAAAAGCGCGCCGTATATCTACATAAATATACCACGTGCCGGTCCAACGTGCTGGTTACACGTGAGATGTATCGGTCTTGTCGAAGGTGAGAAGCTTCCTGAATGTGAGGAGTGCTGCTGATTGCTTTTATTCAGCAAATAATGCCGTTCCTCTTGGCCTCGGTCTGAATGAACCGTATTTTCTTATCAGCTCCCACTACGCCCGAAGCAGAGTCGGGCAGGATTGAGTGATCTATCGCCATCAACATTGCTGTGACCTGGGTGGCAACTTCGTACTGCGAGTATGTATTGCTTTGTGATGACTTGCCAAAGCGCGCAGTTGTTTGCTATTGTCGGTAGCCCATTGGATGGATTGAGGGTGACAAAGAATGACCGGAACGTTAGGATTGAGGGTGGAGTTTTGTAGTACATCTAGCGTCTTGATATCCATGCGTTACGGTCCCCGTACCTGTTACCGTGCTGTACACTTGTAGGGCGTCGTACCTCTGACCAATGTGTGACATGCATACGACAGACTTCGCGTTCTAGGAACCGCGTTCAAGGTTCTGCCTCGACAGCCAACTGGTGCCAGGTTCAGAAAACCAGGCTGACACAGGGCCGGCCATGGCGGAATTGTTTGCCATTGCACCATGACAAATGAACCCATCCTCAAGAAAGCACCGCCGGATTTTAAGAAGTGTCGTCAGCGAAACTGGATGAAACGGGCTTAACCAGCATTCTGACAGCGAAAGCATGCCTGCAAAACATTCGGAATACGTCTTCTATCCATCTAAATAAGCGCGCTCGTTCAAGTTTTGCAGCATTTGACATCAGTGTTTGTTTTGATCATTTCTACTCTAGAGTAAAACCTGTTGGAAGAATCTTTTGTTATCACTGCGTCCTAGGTGTCGTCAGAGTGATGTCAATCCGGTACAAAGATCGGCCGAATTTTTGAGGCCCTTTTCTTGTGTTTCGTCGCATTGCTTTCGCACCCTGACCACAGGTAACTGTGACAAAAAACATGTATGTATTTTGCTAACTGTTCCTGACCTCTGGGAGCAAGAGGTAGAACTTCCAGCTATTAGTATGCATTAAATCATGAACATTCCGTGCATTTTTCAGAATGTGCGAATCTGACGCTGTATCGTGCAGAAAGCTACAGGAGGGAAATAGCCAATGTTAAAAGGGTTTACTTCGTCGACAGCACGGCCCTGAAGTCACGTGGATCAATGTGAAAAATCATAGCATGCTCTCTGTGAATATCTAATTGGCGTACGGGTG